GCTACAGAAAATAAGTTGAAATCTCATGGATACAATACATTCTGTCTAACTGAAGAAAGAAATTTTAAGCTATTACCAAGAATCTTTTTTGAGATCATTGAAAACCCACAGAAAATAGAAATCTGCCCAAAGAAAAGAAACAGAGTAAACGTTATCCTGACTTGTCAAAAGGAAAAGGATGTAGGTTTCCAAGAGAAACACCCTAGGACCAGGTGGCACCACGGGAGACTGTGGAGTTCAGAAAAATGCAAGGACAAGCAGGGGTGTGAACAAGACCCGACTACAGAGTGCAGAGGTTGGCAGGACCTATCAATTCAAGGACAGTTAAGTCATGGTGGGAAAGAGGAGGAGGAGTGAGTGAGATGGGGGATAATGGGGTAAAATATCAGCATCAATCCCTCAAGCCCCAAAGATCCCACCCACTCCCCAGCAGAACCAAACCGGCCAGGAAGGGATCTCAGGAGAACCAGTTAAGAAATTAAGGCCCCCTCTTAGAAGGCACTGGGAACGAAGGTAAGTCATCAGCAGACTAAAGGGTCAGGAAAAGGACAGGAGGCCAACTTACAGGTTACCAACATGAATGAGCAGAGTATTCTGGAAAATGGGAGCTAACAGGCACCCAGGGCTTATTCCCAACATGGAAGTTAATGCACTGATTAGTCAGATGATTTCAATCAAGCTCTCGGTGGTGGTGCTGATTCTGCCAAAACCCCTGCTTGCCACTTTCACGATTCATTCAGGAACTGGGGTGAGCCCTGGCGTGAAGGTCAAATTTATAACAGATCCAGCAGATGGAAAGTAAAGAAGGCAACAATTGGAAAAATGAGGAAGGGGCTGAAAATGTAAAGTATATAAATGAACTTCACTACTGACACTTATTTCCTGTCTCTGGCAAAATTTTAGGACAGATGAACAAACCCATGGTTTGCAAGCACTTAGGGCAGGATCATCAGTAAACAGCACTAGCTCCAGATGTTCACTAATACCACATGGCAGATGAATGGCATTACTTTTTATGATAAAGTTACAAGGCCTATAGATGAGAGTAATGCTGTAAACACAGAGTCCTGGCTTTTACCACAGCATCTAATAGTCTCTATGTTCTCCTTACAATCAAAATTAAGAAATGCAGGAAGGATAATGTACTAGTAACTTTCTGGATCAAGGATAAAACTCAAAGATTACTGATTATGAAGTTGTGTAATATAGGGAATTTCTAAAATAATATAGGGAATTTCTAAAGGCTCCTATCTCAGCCCTGGCTAGTTTAACAACTTTTTCTTTTTTTTAATTATTTTTATTTTTATAGTTTTGGGAGGACAAGTGCAGTTGTGTCACATGGATATATTGCATTGATACTTGTTTGAGTTTTGTTCCCTCCAAATCTCGTGTTGAAATGTGATCCCCAATGTTGGAGGCGGGGCCTAGTGAGAGGTATCTGGATCATGGAGGTGGGTCCCTCATGAATGGCTTGGTGCTGTCCTTGAAGTAATGAGTGAGTTCTCACTTTATTAGTTACTGTGAGATCTAGTTGTTAAAAAAAAAAAAAGAAAGAAAAAAAAAAAAGCCTGGCACCTCCGCCCCCTCTGTCTTGCTTCTCTCTCAACACGTGACACACATGCTCCCCCTTTGCCTTCCACCATGATTATAAGCTTCCTGAGGCTCTCGCCAGAAGCAGATGCTAGTGCCATGCTTCTTGTACAGTCTGCAGAACCATGAACCAAATAAACCTCTTTTCATCATAAATTACCCAGCCACAAGAATTTCTTTACAGCAACACAAAATGGACTAATAGATGCATGCCAGTGAAGTCCGGGCTTTTAGTGTACCCATACGCAATAGTGTACACTGTACCCAATAGGTAGCGTTTTATCCTAGTTAAACAACTTTAATCAATGACTTAGATGAGGCCAATAGCATATCTAGATCACAGATGTCATAATGATGGAAGACACAGTAAATAAGGTAGACATGAATAAGGGATAAATGATTCCACAGGAACATATGCCAAGTACTACACTTAGATAAAAAAGCAAACTGTGTAACAACCAACAATAAGTAAGCCAGGCATGGTAGTGCACACCTGTAGTTTCAGCTACTTGGAAGACTGAGGTGGATCACTTGAGCCCAACCTGGGCTACAGAGCAAGACCCGGTTTGTTTAAAAACGAGAAAAGAAGAGAAACATGCAGCAATATGCAGAAAGCTCAACTAGAAGCCAGCTATAGCCAGAAGCTTAACATAAGTTGGCAATGTCATGCTACAGCAAGAAATGCTCATGAGACTTTTCCTTTAAGAAACCTAGAGTCATGACAAGGGAATGAAAAGGCCAACTTGAAGCCACACTGGGCTGACCAGGCTCAGGGCATTCTGTTGGGATATAGATGTCATATTAGGGGACAAATGGACACATCCAGGATACTTCAAAACTAACCAATGAGACCCAAGAACTCGGTCTGGAGGAGAAAGTGCATACTGACAGCTGGTAGGCTAGATCCAGAAGGCAAATGGGCTAGTTCATTCTGCACAGGATTTTAGTAATACCAGAAAACTTAACAGAAGAATCTGGATTTCTATTTATCTTGGGGGTTGGCAAGGAGAAAAATCTGGGGATAACTGAATGAAGAGGGGTAGCCAAAGCCCCATTTAATAGGAACCAGTCTACATCCTCTTGTCTGACCCCCGGCTTTCAGACTTACTATGAGTGAGGCTATGAGCATTTCAATTGCAACCACTGATGCAGAGAAAAAGAGTCAAAGGGTGAACACAAAAGCTGTGTTCTAAGACCTGAAAGGTTATGTCTGGGCTAGAGATATACTAAGATATTATTCTGAGGAGAATAAGGACAAAGGGTACAAGGCATAGACAGGTTCAACATAAAAAAGAACTTCCTAACAAAAATGGAACAAGCTGCCTGTGTATATGGCTTTTCTTCACTGCAAAAGGGTCTCAAAGGAGACTAATTCGCTAAAGAACTAGAATACATAACCCAAAAAACGTCCTTTCCAAATTTGGGTTTCTCTGATGTTTTCGTATTACAAGTTTCATTATCTTCAGTACCGTCTACCATGGACAGCACACTGGGCTGAGCCCTGAATGTTTTTTGTGTGAGAAAAGCACTGGCTTCATAGTACGACCATAGGATTTACTGATTCCATGTCAACTAAATACAGGCTCTAATACAGAATTACTATCTGATCTTCTCAGGCACATTAATTCACAAAAAATAGGAGAACCCTATTATTTCATTAGTGTTCAGATGTGAGGGCTACTTCTCCCTCGAAGTCACTCGAAGTTACAGGGAGGGAATCACAAGGAGGCATCATGGCACGATGGACAGAAAACCAGAATACGAAATGTGCTTGAGCAAACTTGACACTCTTTCTAGACCTCAGTTTATGCATCCATAAAATGGGGCGGGGGGAAGGGAGGGCATAAAAATTTAGCCATGTCTACTTTACAAGGCTGTTGTACAAATCAAATAATGCAGGCAAAGGTATTCTGACAATTAGACAGCACTATATACATGCAAGGCTTTCCAATACAAAATGTAGATCTACTATGTATTACTTACATTTTTTTGAAATAAATTATGCTTCCCTGGCATAGCAATCCATACCAATTTCCCTATTTACCCCATGATCCACATATCCATCTATTTATCTACCTCTCCATTTCTATTTCAGACTTCACTTTTCCAAACCCTCTCATGTTAAAGTGTGAGCCAGGATTCAACAGTGTGGTACCAAAGTACTCTAAATGTGAAGTAAAGATCAAGGATCAGTCCCATGTACCTAGGGGAATAGGGTGTACAGGTACTAATGAGCCCCATAGGCAAGGCACCAAAGCGCCTTTCAGCTCTGAGCTGACACTTGAACTTTGAGTTTCATTCCACTCAGCCTTACTTAAGATGTGGAGAGGCCTCCACGCCCCTCAGCTCTCTGGAAGTTTGCCTGCCCCTGTTGGATTGAACCCTATGAAACTGCTGTTTTGAGTGTTAAAAACAGTCAAAAAATTGGGTATGGTTCAACCTACATATCCTAAATTCCAAATGTATTAATTTAATTAAGGAGGGAAATGAGATCACAAAGGTTATCAGCCCCCTCCCAGTAAGGCACAGGAGATCAATTTCCTGCCAAATTAATGTTTTATTTTTTATTTTATTTTTAGAGACAGGGTCTTGCTCTGTTGCCCAGGCTAGATCAAATTAATGTTTTAAATTTGAAATTCTTCTTACTGGCTTACTAGGAGATAAACATTTATTCTTTCCTACATTAGATGCCCCATATGCCACTCAGAAAAGAGCTACACCAGTTTGGCTCAAGCATCCATTTTTAGAGATGAATATATCAACAACAGGAGCAAGGAAGTGTTATCTAAAACTTCAGTGCCATGAAAGCACCCAAGTCCCAGGTAAAAAGGAAAATCCACGGTTATAACATGTACAATGAGGAGTCAGGAAAAAAAGTGTTCCTGGAGATGTTCCAAATGGAGGAATGAGAGTTAATCCCTTTAGGGAAATTTTAGAATGTTAAGCTGTGCTATTTTCTAGCAATGAAATCTCATCAGTACCCTGACTTTGATTATTTATTACAGGTTACTCATGCTTTGAAGTCTGAGCTTGCCTACTCAGTTTTAACAGGTCTACACCACAGTTCTTTAAGAATCCTTATGCAAATATAAAATTTTAAGCTATATAAAGATTCACACAAACCAAGGTTATATAAATGAAATTCCTTTATAATTAAATTTTAAGAGAAAACTATAGGGATTTAGGCATTAGCATTCCTGTCTATTTGAAATGTAATTGATTTCTACCACAAATAAACTTAAATGTACCTATTACTTTTAATAGGCAGTAATGGAAATTAACTTCTGTTTATATACATTTTTGTGGTTGACATAACTGTCATTGCAAAATTTTTTTAACAGACATGACTAGAAAATGAGATAAAGTGTTAACTGGAAAACAAATACACACATCCACAATAATTTGCTTACCTGTAATACAAATTTCTGATCTATATATTTTTTGGCAATGCTGGGTTGGAATTCTTGGCTTTCCAAAAATCGTATGAAAAATTCATATACAAGCTGCAACAAACAGATTATGGTTAATTTCAAATTATGATTCACTGGGAATAGTACTACAAACCACCAAAAGCCTGTAACACTAAAAGTGACAGGGCTTAGAAAATTGATTTTAAAATCAATCAACAAACCACGCCAGCCTGTCTTGTGGCTCACAGTTGCTGTTATGCTTTCAACTTTTAAAACTTAAAATTAGAAAATACAACCAAAGAAAAATGTCCCATAATCTTACCATTCAGAGACAACCACTGTTAACATTTCAATGTATGTATCTCCTTCTACAACATACTAATGTACTATAAACATATTCTTACAGTTTTGCAAACTGCTTGTACCATTTATACAATATATTATGCATATACTTCATTTAACATACCATATAAATATACTTTTACAGTTTTACAGACTACTTTTACCATTTAAACAATGTATTATGAACAATTTACATCAATAATATCTAAACTATCATTCTTAGTAGCTGTAAGTAGTCCATTATAATTTATAATGAATAATTCCATTATTCATAATTAACTTAACCAATCTCCCAGGCTTAGACATTTAAGTAGTTTCTGAATTATTTCTCCATCATTCTGCGTCAACGTGCATCACATAACATACGTCAGCGTGTACTTGTTCAATTATGTCATGAGGAAATGTTTCTAAACATGGAATTGCTAGATCAAAAGATAACCAAACATTCAGAATTTTGATACTCACTGACAAATTTCTTTTCAGAAAGTTTATGGCAATTTCTACTCATCCCATAAGATGGTGTGGCACAATATACCCATCTGCAAAAAGTTAGCCTCAAATAATTGATAAACAGTGGGGAATTACTGCCTATTCTCTTTGCATAATAAGTCTATGTTAAAGGCTACATTAGATCCTGATGAGGTATGCAACAGTATATCAAAACCAGAACCTTTATCTGGTGCAACTGCCTGCGCCTGTAGTCTCTGCTACTCAGAAGGCTAAGGAGGGAGGACTGCTTCAGCCCAGGAGTTTGAGTCAAGCCTGGGCAAGAGAACAATACTCTGTTTCTTTAAAATATATATGTAAATAATCTAGAACTTTTTAAGAACTTTTTAAAATATATATATATTAAATATATATATAATATATATATATTCCTGAACATCTAACTCTTTCCCTTACTAACTGTGTAGCCCTGAGCAAGTTAATTTCTCTGAAACTTTGTCTCTTAAATGTTATAATGGAGATGGATAGTCTCTAAGTTTAAATGTGATAATACACACATAAAGCCCTCTGCACAATGACTAACATGTATCATCATCACTATTCCTAAAATAACATTTGCTAACTTTTTGGTCTCACTCCTTTACACTTAAAAATTAACGAGGATCCCAAAGCTTTTGTTTATATGAGATATATATCATATATATGATATATATATATCAAATTAGAAATAAAAAGTGAAAAAAGCTTTTAAATGTTACTGTTTCACTTAAAAACAAGGTGCATTATATGTTAACATAATTATGTTCCTGAAAAAAAAGAAAAAAAAACCTTTACTTTCCAAAAGAATTGAGAAGAAAGTCATTGTTTTATATTTTTATAAATCTCTTTAATATGTGGCTTAATGTAAGACAGATTTTCATCTGCTTCTATATCCAATCTGTTGTGATATGTCATTTTGGTTTAAGCATATAAAGAAAATCTAGCCTGATGGAGATCCAGTAGTTAAAAAAAGGGAGCATATTTTACTAGTTTCTTTTTCCCCCACATAATTGTGGATATTCTTCTTTGATGCTACACTAAATTCAACAAATTGTCATTTCTTAAAGATTAGTTGCAACATACAATCTGAAATGATATCAATGAACTTTTCATACTTTGTTACACTAAAACCCAATCATCTGTCTTGCACTTTGAATGGATCTTTATCCATGCATGGATTCCTAACATCATTTGCCAACTGGAAAATATTGGTTCACTGAGTTATGCAGCTCTTTCAAATGTTGACACATTTTATTATACAGTATCTAAAAATATCACATTCTTTATTATCTCAATTTTATTTTAAAAAAGTCTGTAAGCTTTTGGAAGCTGCAAGCTCAAGGTGACAGATGCAAGACAGATATAAGTTTTCTAAAATTCTAATTCTAAATTCTGCATTAATACTCTAATTTTGTCAGTGGTAACAAATATTGTCAAATGGTTTCCTTGTTTGTTTCAGAGAAATATCTGTCAGATACCCAAGTCTGAATAATCATAGTCTGTTAGTCATTCCTTCAAGTAAAAATGATGTTTCATGAGGAGAAAAGAAAAAAAGGCTAGTTTAGGTTACAGCTCAAAAACGATTACACAAATGCTTTTCCATAAGATAACCATTATATTTCAATATGCAGTGGATGTTACTATGCATACTTCCCATTGTGTCATGTAGAATATTTTTAAATGTGTGCTTGAGCGTCAAAATTTAATAAAATTATTTTTGCTGTTTCTTCAAAGATGTTCTCAAGTGAAATCGGCTTTTTTACACTTTTAATTACAAGTACATGGTAGTGAAGAATACTCAACCAGTTTGACACAAGTAACCTTGATTCTCGTTAAGGTGGCAGCAATTTTAACCACCACCACTTTTGCAATGAATAGTACAAACGTCAACACAGTGAAAGGACAAATCATATATACAGCACTGTTATAAAGGTAGTTTTGACCTTGCGGGACACTGAAAATCAGGTCTCAGAGCCACTCTAAAGGTCCAGACACCACTGATTTAAATGTTTCTTGTCACGTCAGACTCTAACTTAAGACTTAAATAAGGGATTCACATTAGCATTTTACTTCCTTATAAAACTGTTTTTCTCCTTGGAACTCTCTGAATTCAGAAAAATTTCTTTCCTAATGATCCGGACGTTGCCAAGTTTCACACGTTATTTTGCTAGTCAAAATAATGCCCAAGTCCTAAGACCTCAGAGAATTGTTCCTTTTCTAATACGCTCATCTGTCAGCTCTCAGTTTTACAAATAGAATGTCAGCCTTATTCAAATGACCCCATCAAGTGGGTTTTAGCCCTCTTTTGGTTGTCACGAAGGGGAGACTCTCATCTTCTAAGCTGACCTGTGGACTGGCAAGGCTTTCCAGCAAGACTGGCAAAGTGCTCTCTCATCTCTGTTCCCTTGAAAGCAGTTATGGTCTAAAATGGTTTGGTGGAAACACTTCAGACATATTTATTAATAAGCATAAGTGTTCTCTGCACTTAAAAGAAAGATTTTACGTCAAAATCAAAAATCTCCCTTAAGTTTCTAAAGAGAAAGACTGGGCCCTGGGGAGGACAAATTACTTTTCAAGGTTACGTAAGTGAATTCTCCAAGGAACTTTAGTAAAAAGGCCAGCATTCCTGTTTGTCAGTCTCAAGTGGAAAACATTAAAAAGAAACCCTTAATTGTAAATGAAACTCCTATAAAATTGTATTCTACTGAAGACACACCTGATTTCAGAAAATACACAAACAAGATACTAATTCAGATAATCGAACGGTTGAATAACATACACAGAGTAGACCCCTTTGACACATTTGAACTAAAAATTATTCTTTTGTCTATTTTTAAAGATCCCAAAAGATCCACAATTTGTTATAATCAGTAATTTTTTTACTTTTTTTTTTTTTTTTTTTTTGGGTGACATGGTCTCGCTCTGTCGCCCAGGCTGGAGTACAGTGGTGCAATCTTGGCTCGCTGCAGCCTCCGCCTCCCAGGTTCAAGCAATTCTCGTGCCTCAGCCTCCCAAGTAGCTGGGATTAGAGGCGTGTGCTGCCACGCCTGTCTAATTTTTGTATTTTTCGTACAGATGAGGTTTCCTATGTTGGCCAGGCTGCTCTCAAACTCCTGGCCTCAAGTGATCTGCCCACCTTGGCCTCCCAAAGTGTTAGGATTACAGGCACGGGCCACTACATCCGGCCAATCAGTAATTTGTATAGGCCACAGATTTAAATCAAAAAGGTATGCAGGAGCAGTCAATTAGCTGGGCAATGAGCACAGCCAACCATTCAACAACCACATCTCAATGTCATTTTGTTGTTTTGACCTCCTGTCAGGTATTTATAGTTTTTTCCTTGCAAAATGTGTCCCAGAAAAGGAAGCGTACTGCTAATTATGAAGTTAATAAAAAGTGAAAAGGTCTAAAACTATGCTGTGTTTTGGTCAGAAATATAAGTTGAATCAACTAAAAAGTAAAATGTTAAACTTCATGATAGGTGACTACGACATGAATGACCTATCATGAAAAGAAAAAGAGATTTCTTATACATTCAATGAGTGCCCTCATTAGTGCTAAAACCACCTAAAACCGAAAATGGGAAGGTGACTAATTTGTGCTATAGGAATATACAAAGGAAACGCAGGACTCTTGAGACCAAGTCAGGAGCCTTGTTCCAAAAGCAACAGATGGTGAAGGCAACAATGTGCCTAGTTACCTAACCTTTACTATGAATGAAGGTTGATTTACAAATTTTAAAAGTTTCCTTCACCTGATCCAGCATTAGTGGGTCATATTTCCCCTTGAGCTAAAGAAAGGACCAAAGGATAATAATCTTGAACAGGATGTCAACACAGATGAAACCAGCCCATTTATAATACCGTTTCTGCCTTTATATCCAAAAGGGCACCAGTCTCATTACCATTCTTCATTGTTTCTTTGGTTTTAGGGTTTCAGATAAACTAATGGTTAATATTCCTGCAGTAATCACAGTGTAAGCTAGAGTGGTTTTTTGTGGTAGAACTTACGAGTTTCAGAAATTGATTTGGTCCTGTATTTTATAGAGTCATTAAGTATGGGAAGGATTAACTGTAATATTGAGTAAAACTTTATTGTACTTTAGGGGAAATTTATGTCTATGGTTACCATGATTTAGAAGAGTCAAAAAGCTCTTGCAAATGGCAAGAGTGGTCCACAGGGTCTTCTTTGGAATACAGAGAAGACAACACACTGAGGCTTTAAAGACATCTCTTTCCGTGTCTTTTCCGCCATAAGATGTGAGACAACTGAGAAGACCATCTTTTTGTTGTTGTTAAGTTTCTTCCAGACTAAACTGTAATTCAATGAACTGGCACCAAAGATTAAGAATAAGACATAATAATTCACCCATTCAAAAAAGTAATTCTTTTTTGGATTGTGTCACAATCTGGGATATACCTACGAAAAGCACAAATAGTTTTACAAGTTTCTTAGATTGCAGATAGTATGTCTGGGACCTTAAAAAAAATCAAACATCTAAGATAGGAAATCAACTACAGTGTTTTAACTAATTTACCCAGTCTTAGCAATGGAGGCAGGAATACATATGCATAACATGCCTGAGTCAGAGCTGAGAAAACAGAGCCCCCAAAAGTTTTCCACGTAACAAAGGGAAATAGTACACGTGTGTACCTGCAGAAACTTTGAGTTGTCAAAGCAGGACAGACAGACTTGCAAATTTACATCAGAAATTCTGAAGTAGAGGGAAAAAACTCTTAGAATATCTCTAGGCTTTCTCTCTCTGCTGCACAGTTTGTTTGCTCTTCAAAAAGTCAACTTGAACCATGAATACATTTCTATGAAAATGCAGCAGCTTCTGCCTAGGGGTGAAGGTGTACAAGGTATTATTCATTTTCTTCCAACCCTTCCCCCTTGCTATTTGTCAAGCAACCTGAGGATATTCTGACTCAATGGAAGGGTGACTTTGGGGTTCAACATGTACAAATTTCCTCGCTCTATTCTTTCGAGAAAGTTCGGCCTTGAGAGAAGGCAGCACAAGGGAGGAAGGAGCTGGGAAATTACCAGTATGTATTATACAAGTTAATACAATACAGATGGCTCTAGTGCTGGAAACAGAGATGCAGTGATGTCCCTGATCCATCCTGGCACATGAGTATGATTGGAAAACATGGCCTTCTCAGTGCAAGAGAACAGAATTGGCCTTCACCCAAGCTTTCTCTCAGCTGTTACTCTTCCTTACAATACTGTGAACGAAATAGCTATTACAGTTTGGTTTTTGTCCTTCTAACTAAAGAAACACATTTGTAGTTAACGTGAAGACAGGCATACAAAGTTCCCAGGGTACATACTGCTAAAAATGAGATATATATTCTGTGAGCTAATCACATCCAACTAATAACTAATGTGAAAATAATTCTGTGCTTTGTTTGAGGCTCTAGAGGGCAGGATCATAAAGAAGCTCTAACAGACGAATAAGAACTGCTGGCTGTACCTGCAACATGGGGTGGGGGGACACTAAAGCATCACACTGACACTATTTTATTCTTTTGGCATCCTAATTATCAAGAGTAAGAAACGTAAAAAGCATTCTCTAACTTTCCATTAATGTACTCTAATTTGATTTCTTGGTGAATAAAGGCCTTCAAGGAATTCCCATGCTAATCAGCTAATGAGTTAATGGAGTTTTCTTTTAGAACGAATGGTATTTCAAAGTACCTGTAAGTGTGGCCACGATGCCTCAAGGGTAGGTTCATCTTCTTCTGGATCAAATTCATTGCTGTCACTAGGAGGGAGAGTTCTGAATATATTGCAAGATACCTAAAAATAAACAAGCAGCAGAGTTAACGGGAAGCACCTTCTGCGCAGTTTTACACAAGGTCCTTGGAGCCAAGCTGAGGGGAACCCAGATAACAGTGCACAAGGAACATCACCAAACTAGAATAAGGACCTCTTTCTACAGGCTCTGAGGTGGGGACCACCTCCAGGCAAGCTGGGAAGTAGCAAGGCAGCACCATCCTACTCTCTTGAACACTATTCATTGTCCTTATTTAACCCTTTCCACCCTAGGTTGCCATGATTTTATACCTCCCAACAAAGCCTGCTCTTGGTTACTTACCAGTCAAGCATGTTTCTGATTAACCAATTGACACTAAAAAATAAATAACTCCTAATGGGCTTCATGTGCTTCCCTTATCAGGCATAGTCACTATTTGCAAACTTATGATTGAAATAATGGTGAAATTTCAGGCTTTTCTAATAACCTTAAAAATATTCCTTATCTGTCCTCAACGAGTTGGTTTACAAAATAGTAACGATACCCAGAGCAAAACTGTATCTTTGATATAAACCTCTATAAACTTTTAGGTATTCCTTAACCATAGGCAAGATCCAAATTAAACAATGGTTGTTCAAAACATGGCCATGAGTTGGTAACTGTTGAAACTGGGTGATAAAGAGATGAGGATTCGGGGCCGGGCGCGGTGGCTCAAGCCTGTAATCCCAGCACTTTGGGAGGCCGAGACGGGCGGATCACGAGGTCACAAGATCAAGACCATCCTAGCTAACATGGTGAAACCCCGTCTCTACTAAAAAAAAAATACAACAGAAAACATAGCCGGCGAGGTTAGGCGGGCCGCCCTGTATCCAGCTACAGGGAGGCTGAGAGAGGTAATGGCGTAGCCCACGTGAGGCGAGCTTGCAGTGAGCGAGTCCGGCCACTGCACTCCAGTTCGGCGACAGAGCAAGACTCCGTCTCAAAACAACAAAACAAACAAAAAAAAAAGAAAAAGAGATGAGGATTCATTATACTATCATATTTCTATATAGTTACAACACTCCTCTTTTTTTTTTTTTTTTTTTTGAGATGGAGTCTCACTCTGTCACCCACGCTGGAGGCAGTGACGCAATCTTGGCTCACTGCAACCTCCTGCCTCCCAGAGTTCAAGTGATCTCCTGCCTCAGCCCTCCCGAGTAGCTGGGATTACAGGCATGCCACCAACACCGGCTAATTTTTGTATTTAAAAGAGACAAGTTCACCATGTTGGTCAGGCTAGTCTCGAACTCCTGACCTCAAGTGACCCACCCACTTCAGTCCCAAAGTGCTGGGATTACAGGTGTGAGCCACCACACCTGGCCTATTAAAAGATTTCTATAGTAAAATGTTTATGTTTTAAATGTTGTTGCTACTAGTCTCAGGATTCCTTTCCAGTTTCTGTTTCTTGCCCCACTCACCCACTCATCTTTCTCCTAATGACCCGAACATATCCTTAGATCTGAAGAATAAGACAGGGAGGGACAGGAGAACATGTGTAAAAAGTGAGAAGGGAAAAAGAAAGCAGATATTGCATCAGAAGCCTTTGCTGGCCTTCCTATGTAATGCAGAAAATACTGAGCTATCTAATACACTGCTCTGAAAGAAGAATGAAGAAAGGCTTTGGGGTACCCATATAATCTGAATGTGTACATTCCTAGTGCCTAGAACAGTGTGTACACATAACAGGCATTTAATAAGTATTTATTTCATAAATATATTTTTTATTATTTATTTCATACTTATTAAATGCCTATCATGTGTACACACTGTTCTAAGCACTAGGAAAACAGTAGTGAACAAAGCAGATAAAAATCCATGCCACCATGGAACTTATTGTATTCTAGTTAAAGCCACAATTATCCCCATTTCCTAGTTATGGAAACTGAGCTCAGATGTATAAGCTATGGGAAGGAGATCCAATTTTATTTTAGTGCAATGGGAGGCCATTAGTGGATCTTAAAACAGAGAAGTGGCATGATCTGATTTCTGCCTAAAAAAAAAAAATCACTCCAACAGCTATGTATAGAATAGGCAGGAAGAGGACAAGTTAGGCTGTGAATGTGACAAGGGATGACGCTGGCTTGGCAAGGATGGTAGGGAAGACAGACAGAAATAGATTGATTCAAAAAGGTAGTGCTTTGCTGCTGGCTTGGATATATGATGTGAAAGAAAGAATTAAGGACAAGACATAGATCTGAGGCCATAAACTGAAGATAGAGATTACTGGAAAAGGGAAAAGTTTATTTCTTTGCTGGCTTGTTTTAGCGGAGAGATCTAGGGATCCAGTTAGAGACATATTAAAGGAGCAGTATCTAGGAGGCAATTAGAAATATGAAGTTGGACCTCTGAGCTGGACAGGTCAGAACCAGAGACATATAAGACTCAGCAGCATATAGATAATACTTAAAGCCATGGGACCAATGGGATCACCTTGGAAAGAAGTAAACAAAAAGAAGAGAAATGGTCAGCTGGGAGCAGTGGCTCACGCCTGTAATCCCAGCACTTTGAGAGGCCAAGGCGGGCAGATCACAAGGTTAGGAGCTCAAGACCATCCTGGCTAACACGGTGAAATCCCGTCTCTACTAAAAATTAAAAAAATTAGCCAGGTGTGGTGGCAGGCGCCTGTAGTCCCAGCTACTTGGGAGGCTGAGGCAGGAGCCAGGTATGGTGGCGGGCGCCTGTAGTCCCAGCTACTCGGGAGGCTGAGGCAGGAGAATGGCGTGAACTCAGGAGGCGGAGCTTGCAGTGAGCCAAGATTGGGCCACTGCACTCCATCCTGGGCGACAGAACAAGGCTCCATCTCAAAAAAAAAAAAAAAAAAAAAGAGAGAGAGAGAGAGAGAGAGAGAAAGGGTCCTTGGGCACCCAATATTTAGAAATTAGGTAGAAGAAGAAGAGCCAAGGAGAGCAAATGAAAAGAAGCAGGTGATAATAGAAAAGAACTAGAGTTTGGGGTCTCAGAAGCTAAGAGAGAATAGCGTTTTAAGGAAGAGGTCAAGAGCAGCAAATGCTGTTCAGAGGTTGACTAAGAAGAGCACAGAGCAGTATCTATTGGACTTGGCGGTCCTATGAAGCGTACACTATTATGATCCCTAATTTACCACTGAGGAAATAGAAGCATGGATGTTGTTAAGCTCTAAGGTTACAATTAGTAACCAGGAGAGTTATAACTGGACCCAGACTGTCAGGATCCCCAGTGTTCTTTCTAGAAGAAAAGGTAGACCAACTTTCTTATTCGTTAGCTTAGAGGACAGAAAAAAATGATCATATGAGAATATGCTTTTGCTATGGCTAATGACAGCAAACACAGTTCTATTATTTTATTTTTGTCCCTTCCAGTGATTACTAGAAATTATTTTTATGAAGAAATAAGTGACTTTTCAGGTAATGACTTCCCTTCAACCAGCCAGCTATAATGTAATTGACAGGGCAAAGGTTCTTTAATTACTCAACTTTGAATCTTCATTAAACTATACATGTATTTCAAAAACTGAGTCTTCATCCCAACTAAGTCATTCATTATGTACTGCACTCTTTAACAAGTGTTTTTCCTCTCCTAAGACATGAAAGTAAACCATGAGAGGGGGAAAAAAGGGGCTTCTCTATAGTAAAAAATCTGGGTAAAGAAACAGAAACTTCTCTTCCTTTGTACTCCTGGGCATATAAACTCTCTTACAGTGCCCACCACACGCTGCAGCAACTATCTGTTTGGTTATTTGTCTCTCCTTACTAATAACTAATCAGGAATATACAATACATTTGTCTTCCCACCATATACTCAGCATTTAATAAATATTCACAAAGTAAAAGTTTGGATATATTAATAAAGCTGTGTATTGTGGTTTTGCTTTAAACAAATTTCAAAATTGTCTAGGTAACTTGAATAAATCCAAGTTATTTCTAAGGATGTTCATCCCTGTATTGTGTTCTCATCTTCTGACTTGGTCAAAACTTCCTCTCTCAGTTAACACAGCAAAAGAAGGCCACGTTGGGTAAATAATCCAAAAGGCAGGTAGTTCTAGAAGTATATACATCTCATTTAGCTACACCCTGTCATTTCTTCAGATTTATCTTCCTGTCATGCTTTATTTAGTTTACTTCTAAACATTCACCAGATGACGAATGAGGAAGCACATGTCTGCTGGGTTGGACAATTCAGAGTTGACTGGATTGGTTAAGTAGTTCTTTACCACAATGGGAAAGAATGGCAAAGCATATCAAGTGTCATGGAAATGGCCAAACCTTTGACCCAGCCTGGAATATACTAGGTACTTAATAAAAATGTTATAAATGAGCCATTACTCCCATCCTTGAGAATTTGCCCTGAGAAACTAATCCAAGACAAGAGTGAAAAAGCTACTTAAAGCTGTCACTTGCAACATTCTCCAAAAAATGTAAAACTGGAAATAACCTTTATGTCCAGCATCAGAGAGGTTTATCAACTCAGTGGAATACTGTGCAGCATTAAAGATGACGGCTCTATGGGAGTACCAAAAAAAAGTTTATAAATAAAGATTTATATGGAAAGGCAATTGAAAATTGTGTGACTATAAGGATAAGAATGGAAATGGTTAACTATAAATGGAAATTAAAAGCTATATTAAAGCAAGAGGACTATGGATGATAAACACAGTCCTAAATCTATAAAAAGCATACGTTAAAGACATACACTATGTGAGTTACACCTTCCACTCCAAGATGAAAATGGGTCTTGAACTTGTTTATATAAGACTACTGCTGCCAAGCGAGAGTTAAGAACCACAGCCTCCAGGAGTGCCAAAGGTTTATCAGAAAAAAAATATATATATATCACAGCCTCCCACAATACCAGAGAGCTTGGCTCATGAATGAATGATTTAAGAATTACATGAATGAACCAGTTTAACTGTACAGTTGAGCTCCAAAATCATAAATTTAAAATCAGGTCATCCATGGACGGGCTTCCACTGGGGTGCGGGGGAGGAAGAGGGGAGGAGTGTCTCTAAATCCCCTGATTTATCTGCAAC